CCACTTTATTCCTCGGGATTCGTGGACAAGAACACAACGTTGTTCCAGGACGATGGAGCACCGTGTCACATTGCTAGAAACACCCAAAGGTGGCAGGAAGAAAATGGTATCCAGAAGTTGCCCTGGCCGAGCCAATCTCCTGACATGAACCCCATCGAAAACCTCTGGGCTATACTCGACCGGCAAGTCAAGAAACAACAAAAAAAAACTTCGAAAAGCGATCTACTCCAAGTTTTGAAGCAAGAGTGAGCGAAAATCCCACAATCTAAAATTGACGAGATGATTCTCACGATGTCCCAAAGGATCAACGAACTCCATGAAGCGAAAGGAAGATCTACGAGATATTAATTAAATTATACATATATCAATTCAAGTGAATATGACTGAAAAATTACATTTTTTCTGAAAAGGTGGGGTCTATTTACTTGTGACCACGCTGTGTATGTGTGTGAAAGTAGGTATAAGTGAAATTTTATAACAATTGTACATACATTTGAAATGAATAATTAACAATAACAAAAATCAGAAGTACAAGAAATCGGCGATAACCAATGCATTATTTTACCTGTGATTTATAAAAGGTAGCGCGTGTTGGTTATGTGTAAAAATTGCAAAACCAATAAGTCTAAATTTAAGTGTTCAGCCAGTTTACTTGGAAAATCAAGTAGCCGTAAAAGTAGTCCACTTTCCAACAGTTGCACTTGAAGTTGAGCTGCTGCACGGTTTATTGATTATACAGAACGATTTTTTTCTTCCAATCATGCGACCAAATTACCTCATACTCTGCTATACTACTTTTGATTTCAGTTCAAGGTAAACTAGTTTTTAAAATATTTGCAATTAGGTTTATTAATCTTCGTAAACAGATAATGACAATTTTAAATATAAAGAGAAGTATATTTATGGCGTCACCTTAGAAATTTCCATTTATCAAAAATTCATATTAATCAAAAAATAAGGTTTGTCTTAGCGCAAAGGTACATAATATTAATAGGCTATCTGCGCTCTGTCCACCATATGGAATCGAGCCTTGAATTTTAGCGTTGTAAGTCTGTAAAAATATCGCTGACCCACGAGGAGGGCATCAAAGATAAGCAGAAACAATTATGAAAAGTTTTTTGTTTTGTGTGTGTGTGTGTGTGTGTGTGTGTGTGTGTGTGTGTGTGTGTGTGTGTGTGTGTGTGTGTGTTTTCCAAAGTTCTAGTGACTTCACTATGACAATTAGATATGTCCAATTACATTAACTGCATATACGTTTAACGAGAACTTTCAAAACACAATGAATAATCAAACCCGATATTCCTACTGATGAATCAACACATTATAATGGTTACAAGTTTTTATTTTATGACACTGCATACTCAGTTAGGCTAGCATAATAAATTACCAACGTTATTTCTTAGGTTAACTATTAGTTCTCGTTTGTACAGATAGCTTGCTCTGAACAGAAATAACTGTTAGTGATAATGTTACTGTGATACTTTATTCATCATTCTTTGTACAAATGTACGTTATGAATAATGAAGATAATTGAGGTTTATTTTAACATCACTTTTACAATTAATTTATCTGTATGTCTATATCATAAAGACAATAACCGTCGGAGTTGAACTTGAAAATCGTTTTCATTACAATAACAATACTTCTGAGTAGTTACAATATGTTGTACTTGTCTAGGTTCAGCAAATACGAAACATTCGTTGTGTTATATAAATTAAAATTTTAACCTCAACATTATGCATATGTAAGGTAAACGGCCAGGTCAGATATCCCAAATATGGCTATCCCTAATTTTGAACTACTTGCCAGTGGGAACTGTTTTTAGGAACAAAGCTGAAGAATCAAACTTAACTAATAACAGCTTAATAGTTTTCCTTTCGTGTTAATACTTACTATCATGAGTTATTTCAATTCATTAATTATCAGTAACTTCCAATCAAAGCAAGCTATCTACATAGCTCATGACTAAAAATTAACCCAACAAATAATGTAGATAAACTAATATACTAGCCCAACTAGGAGCATAGCAATGCCCCAAAACAAAATCTTACAATGATTCTGTTAATCTATGAATTAAAACAATGATGATAAACAAACCATATGTTTTAGTATACATAAGAAACTTCATATTAAGTTTGTAAACTTCATAAAAAGCATTTTTTAAATAAGAAAAATCAGTAACAATAAGGAAGTACAACTTTAGTGTTATATCATTTTAAATGAAAATATCAGAATGTCTGATTTCTAGTTTTCTGAAGTGTGCTCTGGTTTTATGCATAACACCAAAATCCTTTTGTGATAAAAATCACACTTCCATAAGTCATGTAGTAATTGTTTTCAATCTGCACCTTTTTTAAATATTTATTATATCTGACGTTTTTATAATCATTGTTTAAGTTTCTTATAAAATATGTTTCTAAATCTTATGTAACATGGCAAATGAGCAAGAACACAAAGGTAACAGGTAGTTCAGTCCACTTTGGTCATCACCACAACCACTAAAACAACTACCACAAGTTTCGTCTAGTTTTTCACTCCTATAAATCTACTGAATTAAAAAAAACTCAGGGTAACACAGAATTCACATTTATAATCAGACAAGTTTGTTTGTAACAAAGAAATAACTTTGAGAAAGACAAATCTTGACCTAAACTACTGAGTTGTTTATTACCCTTTACATTCAAAATACCATTTCCAAATATGGTATTCCACCATGCAAACAGTCAATTTCTTGGAGCCCTTAACTATTATACACCTCAATAAGTCTTCTACTTTCTCAATATAACAAGTATAAATCTAACCTATTTTTAATTTCTCACTTTTTATTTTTTACAGCTATTAAACATTCAAGCACAGGCTTCACATACTTTCAAGAATAACACAACTATTTTTCAACAATATAAATTATTTTCCCCATGGGTCTACTTTTCTCAACCCATAATCTTTAAATAGGAACAGTGTTAACAATATTCAAAATTTCCAGTCTTGTGAAACAATCCTAGAAGCTCTATTTTCTTCTTCAATTCCTTCAGTGTTTCCCAACAAATCTCAAAGGCAAGTAGCTAAACTCTCAACAAGACTCAAAACACTTTTTTAAATAGTCTTTTCACTAACAACAAAGTAAGTTTTTCTCACTATTAAACTTACTCAGATTTGTCATTTTCCTCTCATTCATTAGTGAAATACTATTATAAAAAATGTTTCTTAACACCTTTGCTACGATTCATTCCTCCACAGTGAAGCTTCAATTACTGTTAACAAATCAATGCTATTATTAACACTCTTAATATAGTTGAAACAAACACAACATCAAACTTGTATCAGTTTTGATACACTTTAGCAAAGAACTTGTTTAGACAGTGAAAATACCCAAGTCCTGAAAAAATATCTATTAAATTAAATGCAAATTGTACATTGTAATAAAATTTCTTTAATTGCCCAATTTAAGCCATCTCCAAACTTTAGTATCTACTGTTTTTGTTAAGATATCTAAATAGTAAACTATTTTCCTACTAAATTGTATCAGCACCACTCTGTGATCAGAGCTTATGTTTCTGAAAACTAGTAAATCTAATACAAGCTTGATTACAAAAATAATTTTAAACTCAACTTAAAAGAATGCAAACTTACTAACAAAATAAAAGCTCTTTCTCATGTATTGGGGCAAAAATAACCAGAAAATATATAAACTTTAACATCAAGAAGAGAGTTCGTTTGTTATTCTTAATGTCCTTTTTAGTTACAGTTACTTTTTTTATATAGTTTCATAATGGAGTTTGTTTTATTAAGCACACAACTACACAACAGGCTATCTGACTTGTGTCCACTATATATATTAAGATATGATTTTTAGTGTTATAAATATAAGCCTTCAGCACTTTATGGGGAAATAACAGTGTCAATAACGGTAAAGACAAAATTTTAGAAGTTATTACAAACAATTATAATATTAAACTTTCAGAAAAATTCACCAATAACAATACAGGTGTCACTTATAAACTTTACAATGGTAGAGAAAATGCTCTATTGCGCCTTTTTTACGTTACTCCTATTACTATACAAATGTTTTATAGCTCCAGTTCCTAATATAATTCAAACATTAATAGTATTAGTAATACTATTACTATTCTAGTAAGTTTCTCAAAAAAATTGCCTACTTCCGAAGTTTTTAAGTTTTTTAGTAACTAAAAATGTAGTAGAAATGCATGTTTTATCAATAACTAAATTACAGATTTTGCTGTAAATGTACTTTATTATAATTAATAGAAATTCACTTATAAACTTACATCCTGTTTCCTGCTTGATTTCTTCCCATTCTTCAGGTTTAAGAACCAGAGAAGACTTATTTCCCATTTCTTGAGTCGGATGAAGTTTCTTTTAGTTTCACGCTTTCAAATTTAATTTAATTACTATTTAAGAAAAAAAGATACTGAGAGAAATGTAGTATAATTGTAGTCAATCTCACAAATAATAAGTCATACAACGTAGCCAGCTTAAGAAATTTAACAAAATAAAGAATTTTATTACGACAACACGAGCGAACGTCATTAAATGAATGGCTGACCGTGGTATATTCTTTTGCCTTTATAACTAAAATCCGCGTACACAGCGCCGCCATAAATACCACGTACAAATAATGAAAATAGTTACGTTTTTTTTCTTCAAAATTATTCATATTAGAATTCAGTCAACACACAACCACAATACCCTTTATATCATGCTGAAGATCCATATTCTTGGAAAAATTTTAATAAATATTAAATTAAAGAACTAGCTGAGTTATTAAATGATAATACAACATTTGATACAAGTGTCTCCAAATTGATTATATTATGACAGCATTGTTTACATGTTTAATTTGCACGTAGGTCAGTGCTTCAATTTAAGTTATGTACATTGTTTTGCATCAACGTTCGTCCAGAATTATAAAGTTTAGAAATGACTAGTGCTGTTTTTATGACATTTTGATGGTATTTGTTGGTTGTTTGGTTTGTTCTGGAACAAAATCACATTGGGTTATCTGCTGTGTGCGTCGTGGGAATCGAACCCTGGATTTTAATGTTGTAGTTCCTTAAACTTATCACTGTCCTACCGAGAGACCACTGTACTTGTTTTAATTGCGACATGTTATACCTTCAAATTTGTCACAAATCAGAAAACTAACTTCACATATACATTTGCAGTTTAGTTAGAAAAAATAAGATTTTATTTGCCAAAAAAAGAGAGGGGGGAAGGAATATTGTGTTTAATGGCTAGTTTTGTCCAAGTGTGGATAATTCTTGAGCTGGTTTCAGGAATAAAAGGTCAACCTCAAATTCTCATAAAAACCCGGCCCTAAATTAAAATC